AGATGGCCCTCAATCTGCAGGGGTTGCTCTGTTTGAGCAGTTTCAAGGTGATTCTGAGATGGAGGGTGTTTGAGAGGTGCAGGGGTCGTGTATTAGCTTGGTTGTGATGTGCTGAGTATGTTTGATAAGTTTGTTCTTGTGTGTCTAAGCTGAGATGGATGATGTTGTGAGTTATGGCTCTTTTCTTCACACTTAAGCAACAAAATGCAACTTGTGTTTCTAGGCATGTAGAGGGCCCCTAATGTGCTGCATAATCCCTCCTTGATCAGTGTGTTATGCTCATAAACTTGTGCCATTCAGATTTGCAATGTACTTGTTGGATTTCCAAATTGACATAAAGTGAATTTTAGCAAAAATGGATAATTCACTTTATCTAAAAATGGATTAGGCTTGTGTATAATACTTGAACTCATAGAATAACATCTTGACACAATGAACAAGCATTAAATTATTGAGTGTAACTTGGTTTAAGGACCTGTAATCTAGCCTAAAGCATGCTGAGTTCAAATTGCAAAGTTATGGACATGGAACTTGGTCATGAACAAAGTGGTTTTTTGCTATATTGTGAAATTCGATTCTCTCTAACCATGAGGTTGTTTGAGAAGTTCTTGGACATTTTGGAAATCTTGGAATGTGTACTACAATCCATCTGTGAAATGCAATTTGAAATTCCAAGTGGAAGTGTATGGAAAATGGCCTTGAAGTTAGGTAGAAAACCTTGTCAAAATAGGTTAAAATTTCACTAAGTTAAAAATGGTTTAGTGCCCTTATTCAAAAAATTGTAACTTGAGATATAAGCTTCAAATGAGAAAACTTTGTGAATCAAAGTTGTAGATTATGCAACAAGATACAACTTTCATGTTTTGACTTTTGTTTGAATCCAAATGGATCATGGTGAGAAAGTGGGGCAAAGTTGGGAAAAAATTAGGGTTTTTCATAACTTAGAAAAATTCTAAGTTATGAAAAATTCTCATTTCAAACCCTAATTTGCAATTTTTGATTTCTTGGTGAACAAGTTTCATGATTTGGCATGTTTTGATGAAAAATGAATCTTGACCCTTGATTTTTGACCAAAAAGTCAAAGTTTGACTTTCCAGTATACAGTCAAAATTGATCAATTGACTGGGAAATTCAACTATCAATCTTGTGTATTTGGGATCCTTTGAACTTGTTGAGCATGTCAAGATAATTCCATAGGGTCCTTGAGTCTATGTGTGAGCTTGGTTTGCCATTGGCTAGATCAAACAGTCAAAAATTGCCTTTGTGCAGTCAAAACCCTAAAAATGACCATTTTGCCCTTTTGGTGATCTGATCAAATTTCTTGGGGAATTGTGATCCAAACTTGATCAAATGGTCCATATGAGTTCATAATGTTGATGTGGGTCAAATTTCATGAGGTTTGACTGTCAATTGGCCACAGTTGACTTTTTCCCTAACACAGCTGATTTCTAGGTCAACTGTCCAAATGACTGGGCAAAACTTGGAATCAGGACTTGAAACTTGGTATGGGTAAACTTGGGAGTCCAATATGAAGCAAGAAAGTCATCTTGGGCACTTTAGGATAAAATCTCTTTGTGCAAGCACAAACCCTAATTTGGGTTAGCAGTGCAAGGAGGAGTCTTGAGCAGATGAAACCCTAACTGGATCCTGAGCTTCAAGGGCTTTGTGATGAGAAATCAATGAGAAGTGGGAGGGCAAATTTTGGGGTACAACAGGTACCATAGGCCTCCTCATCTTCGGTGCTCATCCCACCCGCGGGCGTATGGTAGTGCCCAGTGCCATGCTCGTAGTGGCGCGAGGTCCAATGCAAAGGAAACTTAGCTACACGCCCCAACATCGGGCGACCCTCGTCGTCTAGCAGAGCCTCCCCGTGATCGTCGGTCACCATAGTTTCTTCCTCGTATACAGACTCTAGACCAGTTTTGGTCACCGGCCGCACGATGTACCATTTGTCCTTAAACCCCCGGACAGAATCCATATACATCCTGAACAGTCTCTTCGACTGTTTCAGGGAAACCCAACTGTGCCTACCTCCCTGAGACGGGCGCTTTAAATGGAAGACTCTGAAGAAAAGAGGTATGGTCGCCCCAATCCTTAAAAAGCGACACGTCAGTTCGAATGCCCGGAGAAAAGCAATCGAGTTGGGGTGAAGCTGCGACGGGGCCAGCTCCAGATGACTAAAGACCCCGACCTGAAAATCACTAAAGGGGAGCTTTAGTCCAAGGTCCTTAAAAGTGATCTCATACATAGGAAACCCGTACTCGGGGAACTCCGAGCAGATCCGCGCGTTAAGAGACGGTCTGATGACGACAAAATTTTTCTAAAAGTCGGGCTGACTACCGCCCTGCTCGATGATAGTATACACGCTCCGACTGCGCCGACTGTAAGCAGAAGCAATCCCTCTGGGCTCGGCGCCCACCCATTCTAGCAGAGGATCGTCAATGGTATCGATCAGGTTCACATTTTCCTCGGTGCTTTGATCTTCCACCTCATGGCGCCCCGAGGAACACGGTTCATCAGCCATTATTACCTGCAAAGCACAGGAAATCGGTCAATCGGGGAGCAAATCCATACGCTCGCCATAACTGACGAGAAGAAGGGCACAACAACCGAGTCACACCACACACACGATTAAAACGTTGAAGATCCGAACAAAAGTCTGGAGTCACCTCCCCGACGTCAAGATACCACGACAAGTCGTCCTACGGATTGCCTAAATGGGCCAACGTCCCGACCAATCACGAATATGTCGACCTAGGCTATGGACGTGACGAACAATATCATAAACCCTAAACCTAGAACTAAGAAATTATCGGGCACTACCACGAGTTAGGCGCCCTAAATCATGAAGATCCCGGGCAACATTGTAAGTCACATACCTAAACTATGCATCTACCGGGCACAAACATGCATTTGCCGGGCATAAACATGGATATGTCGGGCAAACGTATACATATACCGGGGCTAATCCCAGACGCAGATTCTCTAACATACAAAACAATGGAAAAAATCATATTCCACGGAGGAGAAACATGAGGGATGAGACGCTTACTTGAAATCAGGAAAGAGGTACGGCAGCAAAGAAGGAGCTCAACGGCGGAAAGCACAGCGGTCCTATGAAAATCTGGAAATAACAGCAACAGCAGAGGCAGAGGTAGGAGGAGAAGCGCGAAGAGGAAAAACATATTATGGGGCCCAAGGACCCTATTTATAGTGATGACGTGGAATACGAAACGTCACCCCGGGGAACCACGAACTTCCCTCCTCGACGCATAGCTCCCCTAGGCAATGATGGCCCTATCTCCAATAGGGTGGCATCACACTTCCCAAGGGTTGCCTCGTGTACTCAACGAACACAGCCCGTCGAGGGTCCCCCGAGCACTCCTCGAAATGAGCTTCTCACGAGCGCGACAACAGGGAAGCTCCTCAAGCAAACACGAGGAACCAGATCTCCTGGCTGAGCAGGAGGCCCCGTGACAAAGGCGAACTGAGGTTAAGTCATAACTCCTGCTCCAGGAGTCACGACTTGGGGGGCTCCTGTTCTGGATTGGGCTCAGGTTGGCCCAAGAGCAAGAATAGGCTCAATCCAAACGACTCTACAAGGGGCGCGTCGACCATAAGCTACGACCGTGCCCGCCACTGCCCGCGGACACAACGTCCTCGACCAGATTCCATCCAGCTCGAGTTCAGCTCGAGCACCCTCCTCGTAGGGCATATTGTAACCGTTACACCCTCACCTGAACTCCGAAAAGACCGCGTCCTCGTCTGTCCGTACTTCTCGCAGAGCACCCAGGAAGGAGACCACGTACGGGTCCCCACTACACACGTAGAACCTGGCAGTTCCTTTATTGGGCCAATCCTGGTTGGCCCAATGAAGGGACCTTGGCCCAGCGTTGGGGGCTATAAATACCCTCTGTTCCAAGAGGGTCAGGTATTCATTCTCTTACCATTCACACACCTTTTTGTCTGCTCGTACTGCCACTTACTTTAGCATCGGAGTGCCTTGCAGGTACCCCCATCTCGTTTAACTTCAGCTCGGAGCCAGTCGTGACGGTCTAAGTCTGATCCGGTAAGATCAGTTAGTCTTTCCATTTTTAAGTTGACAATATTATTTTTTATTTATTTTAATTTATGTTGTTAGTCTTTCCATTTTTAAGTTGACAATATTATTTTTTATTTATTTTAATTTAAATTAAATTAATATATAATATGACATATTTATTCTCTCATACTGGTTCCCTCTCTTCTTCATCTCTCTCTCCACTACGATGGATGGGAATTAAAGTTAATAATTAATTTTATTAAATTAAGACAAAATATTCTTTTTGGTGTCGATAATAATATTCATTTGAGTTCTTTAACTTAAAAAATATTTATATTTTTATCTAATTTTAACGTTAACATTCAGGACAAAAAAATATTTTATCTTAAATTAATATTGCTTCTACACGTGACAAAATTAAACGGAATAATAAATTGGAAATAAAACTTTGTTAAATTTTAATAGCTCACGCACATACCACAAAGACAAATGAAATGTACACTTGAAAGGTTATTAATAATTAAAAAAATATAAGAATAAATTTAATTAGACTCAAGAAATAAGAGCATTAGAAAACTATTAGAGGTTTCAACCAAATATTCTAATCCTTTAATCCTCTAAAATACAAAAAAAATATATATACAAAAAAAAAGAGAGAGAGAAGATACTAAAAGAATATTGTCAATGATAAGTCTTTTCATAATATCAATGGAAGATATTTAGATTGTGATACCAAAGATTTTGATTAACACTCTTTTCACTGTATAAAAGTGATTGTAAGAAGTCATATATATAGAAGAAATCAATGATAAGAATTTATTTATTTAAAAAAAAAAATCCTAAAGCAAATAGATCAACAATGGAACATTCAACATATTGTATTATATGTACAAGCTTATGTAAATTATACAATAGAACAAAAGACTTCCCTACACAAATGGATATACACTACTAGGACATGAGAACCTTGATGGCCATATTGTTGTATAGATGGCATTTATCATTGTGGGTACAATTTTCATATTATTGTTGTTGTTCACAGCAAACTCCTAAAGCTCTAGATAAAATCAGCATTCACTTAACAACAAAATTGTACCAAATTTACGTAGAGAAATTCATAATTAAAGATTCAAGGTTTGTCAAAATCCAAAATGGCAGCAAGACTTGTATCAAAAATGACAACAAAACAAAGAGCACCACTAGCATGAAAAGTTGGCCAAAATTTCTAAGAGTTTTTTGGAAAAAATACATAAATAACAAATACTTAATCTTAGAACAGAAGTATGCACTTTTTAGTAACTGGCTGTCACATATTATTTGCTCTAGAGGCAAAGATTCAATATAATGTTCTAACTTTACCCTATAAAAATCACCAATCGCCTCTTCCGAATCTCTGCATGGATTCCTCTTTCTTTTGTTTCACAATTTCAAGTATCTTGGGATTGAAGAAACGATCGCGAACGTATTTCCTCTCCTCAGCTTGGATCTCCTTGATAGGACAAGGATATGGATTTGGAGGCAGTCTCTTTCCTTGGAGGCGCGCAATTTGCTTCAGACGGGCATACGCTTTCTTCTTTGCCTTTTTCTCTGCTAGATATTCCATCTATGAGGCAAAAATAAAATAAAAAGGCAAAAAGTGACTATTAGACGGAAAAAGGGTAAATCAAAAGAAAAAATATTCAGGAACCATAGAGAAAATATTCAGGAACCGGTTTAGTTACGTACATCTGCTACTTCCATTGCTTCTTCCTCAATAAGGCCTTGCTCTTTCAACTCAAGAACCCTTAAGGCGAATAAACGAGATGGAGGGGGATCGATAGCATTAAACCTGTTGTTGAACTTGAAACATTAATCATACATTTTAATAGGTAAATAATGCATTTTATACTTCAAATTTACTATCATCACAGATAAGTAGACGAGGTATATGGAAAATGTAAGCGGATGGAAACATCTTGAGAGGAAAAAAAAAACACCACTATGCAATCTTTTGAGTGTGCGTGTGCTCCATCAATTAGTAACAGCTATTCTATTGACATTCCTAGCGAATTGATATATCATACTCTATTTTGTGGAAAAATAACTTGAGGACCACGCGTCCATCGACAGAACATACAAGTAAGCTGAGAATTAACTGATAGCAAAAGGAAACAGATCCGCAAGACATGTATTCTTTTCATACAAGCGAGAAGTTGTTAAACATGTAAGTAAGAGTTCACAACACGAAACGTTCAATATTTATCATTTAAGAACTCAGTTCAGCCACCAAAAGAACAAGTCCACAAGATATGAAGGAAGAAAAATGAGAGAAATTATAGTTATTTATTTCTATTTTTAACCCTGTCTTGACAGAAATAAACTCACATTATAGACTCAAATCCAATAAAAAAACACCAGAGTTCTTTCATAAAAATTAACAAGACAGCAGAGTTGAAAGCAATAGAAAAAAGGACAATACTTGATGGGGTCATGGTATTTAGATTCTGGATATTTTTTATAAAATCTCTTTACATAAACATCTTCCGGAAGCGTGATGGTCGGAATTTTCCCCTCGGGTCGCGGAAATGTTGCTGGGGGTGCCCTGGAATTCACAATAAAAACAAAATATTACACAATTTTCACCCTATCATGAAATGATAAAAAGAACTGAGTGCAAAAATGAAAGAGCAGAAGATTAACTGTTCCATGGCTTTGAGCCACACAGGTTCAGCCTTGGCTAAACCCTTGACGATCTTTCTTGTTCGAGAAAGCAAATCCCCTTTCATAAACGACATTGTTCACCCTTTACTGCATCAGACAACAAGAACCAAAATTAGAAGAATAATGATAATCAAAATCTGAACTTTCCCATCTCAAACCAATTAACCCTAGCTAATACCCATCAATTAACAATTCAATTAACCCTAATATCTATAAACTAACAATTCAATTGACAGTAACAAGATGAAAACAAAGACATGAAATCAAACAAGCAGAATAGCAATGAATGGGTTTCGGAATTGAGATACCTGTCTTGTGCGATGAAGATGTGAGTTGAGAATTGAGAATTGAGAATCATTTTATAATATTACAAATTCAAGAATATTTCTAATTAATTAATTAATAATATAATAATTAATCTATGGAGTAATATGCTATTTCAAAGTATATTTTCTTGATTCAAAGTTTAATAGTTTTACTAGGAGTTAATTATATAATCAAAATATTTATTTAAAAAAATAATCGAATTCATATTTTTTTTGCCCACCAGAATTTTAAGAAAATTTTATAAGCGTAATTCTTACTATTTTTTAATAAAATATGACAAATGTATTTAAATATCAGTTAATAAACAAAAATATGAAAAAATTATATATATATATATATATATATATATATATATATATATATATATATATATATATATATATATATATATATATATATATATATATATATATATATATATATATATATATATATATATATATATATATATATATATATATATATATATATATATATATATATATATATATATATATATATATATATATATATATATATATATATCATATATATCATATTTATCATATTTATCATATTTTCATTAGAAAATATTAATAATCACACTTAAAGAATTGTATTTAAGTTTTCTCTTCAAGAAAAATATATTCTTAAGTTAAATAAATAAACTAGAATTTATAAAGTGTCATGATACTCATTTTTATTTTTTAAATTTTTTTTATTGTAGTTTATATATTTTTGACCCAATCTCCTCCTTTTATCGTAAAATCTTAAATATCAAATATGAAAAAGGTTTTTAGAATTTTTTTCCACTTATATAGTTTTTATTTAATCTCTACAAAAAAATATAAAATGCTCTCAATTTTCAGATTTATATATTCTAACACAGCTTTTACAAAAAAAAAAAAGTGTAAATGGTTAAGTTTATCTCACTTTGCTAAAATTTAATTTAGAGGTGCATCTTCGTATGTGTTTTAGGGTTTGTCTGCATATGCATATTCAAATTATCTATTATTTTCAAATTCACGTGTTTTTTTCGGAGTTGCGTCTTTTAACACGTTTAATTAATATATAACGAATGTGATATATCCTCCCTCTTCTCCCTCTTCCTTTTCTGAAACCTTTGAGATGCATTGGAGCTCGTGAGTAACATTCTTCAAGTTCATTTATCAAGGAACATCATTATCTCTACTTCAATATTTTCAATCTCAACTCACTCCACTGACTGCGTTCAACAATTTTCATCTTCATCGACACTTTTTTAAGTAAGTTTCTCATTTAACTTTTTTTGAGTTTTGATTAATGTATTAGGTAAAATAGTTTGTTTTAAATGCATTAGATAGTAGTCACATTCAAAATAGGTAGTTGTTAGAGACATGCATTATGATTTGATTGCATTCGAACATTTTTTATCCCACGGGAAGGAAAAGGTAAACATCAAGTAAACCTGAGAAGGGTGAAATCAAAGTCAAACAACCGAGAGATACGGGTAAGAGAGTCGATTACGCGAGGGTAAGGTATTAGCACCACACACGTCTGTGGTACTCCACGAGATCCATTCTTGTTGTTCTAATCAAAGAGTGTGTTCAAATGTATGCTTACGAGCTAAAAGGAAAAATGTAAAGAAGGAATGCATGCAAAAAGAAACCACAAGGAAAAGAAGGAATTATTTACAAAGTTTCGCTCAGCTGAGCCCCGCGACCAGATGCCTACGTATCCCTTTTTATAAATCAGAGCGCCGTAGTTCGGCTCAAAAGTTTCTGTTTGTTTTGTATTTTTTTATGGATAATGATGCATTCGCATCATTACGGTTAGGATTGCAATTCGTGCTTGGCGTTGCAGCTCGTAAAGAGATACATGCTCAGCCCCTCGCACACTTAGCATTTCCAAGTTGTTCAAGTTTGAAACAACATATCCTTATTGAAAAGGTTTTAAAAGAAAAAGAAAGTTCGAAGACAAAAAGATTTGCATTGGTTAGTGTATTTTACTTTGAAAAAGGATTTGAGAAGTTTTAAATGTTCTATGAATTTGCCAAAGAAAAAGGTTTTAGTTTTAAGGATGCAAAAGGGAAAAAAAGTCTAAGGAAAACTATCCTAAATCTAATCCCTAATGTTATCATACAATGATGGCCCCAAGGTCAAGGATAAAAGGGGAATCTCTATTCATGATAGCATGCATGGATTACAATCCTAATGTCTATCTCGAATCGCCGCCAAAGGTTGAATCGAGAGATCCTAAGGGAACATGGCAAAGGTTCAAAACCTAAATAAAAACATAAGCACAAGGTGCAAACAAACAAAGATGAGCCGAAACAAACAAACAAAGCTTGAGGAGTATCCATTCACTTAAGTAGCACACACCTAACCGATGTATCATGATACCAAGGTAGGATAAGAAGAGGGATGTCTGACCACGATATCGTATCATCGAGGTAGGACAAAGGAAGTGGGGCACCTAACCATGATATTGAATCATCAAAGTAGAATAAAATGATGCTTAGACAAGACATAAACTCATCAAGGCGAGTGAAAATGGGGGAATAATGGTTCTTAACCGTGATATCAAATCATCAGGGCAAGAAAGAAAGGGATGTCGACTCATAACCAAGATATCAAATAATCGAGGCAAGAGAAGAATAAAAGTGAATCATCATAATCGACTAAGCACCCGACCAAGATATCGCGAATCGAGGTAGGAGATAGAAGGAAGTAATGAGATTACATCAAAGCATCAACGTTTCACAAATTCGAGCTAAAGACAAAATGTGGGGGATTGGGTTACGAATCATTTTTCCATTTGACTGACTCGATAACATGAGTAGTACAATTCATAGCATCAATGCATGGCGCGTGCTATGAACGACACAGACAAGAAATGGTAGGGTCGATTGCGGACCCTATATGGCCTTGCCTTCTTTGAGTACCCCGATGTTACATATCAGAGCAAGACCTTCTAGACTCAACAAAATTAAATCAACTCACTCCAAAGCTATCCTTCTAGGCCTTTAAGAACTACTTCTGATCACCTGCATGTTACCCACGTAGAGGCAACATTCGAGCAGAAAGGGTGAGTAAATCATAATTACTATATAAGACATGAGGAATATACATAGTAGAATAAGCCAACAAACATCACAACATCAACTCAACAATATCATCATTTAGTACAACAGTATAATACAACATCATCAAAATTAATCAACTATGCAATGCCACATAAGATGTAGTGCAAGAACATAGACTCATGCATGTGGTATCATTTATTTTGATGGGCACTAGGCCATCACCCTCCAAAGATCCCCACCATAGGATTGATCCTCTTTTAGAACCGAAGCACAACATCAGCACCCTCAACCACACAATAGGATTGAGACCAACACTGGACCAAAGTTCTAAATCAACATGGGCGGACCAAACTTGTCCAAGCTATGCCATGAATGCATGATGTGCAACAACAAATATGAACGACCAAAACTAGACATACGCATCAACATTCATAAAGTATTCAACATCATCATATCATCATAATAATAAAACACCATCATAATAATCACATATAAACAGAACGACATCATCACATCAACATATCATCATAATAAACAAACATCATCATAATAAACAAACCATCATTGTGATTCGACGTGGGGAACCTATTTCTATCATAACTTAGGTATTTGGAAAAATACTTCTAAGTTCTCATTTTATTCCATTTAACTAAGGTTTATTTTTTTATCTAAACACTTCTTCGAACGACACCTCAAACCGAGCTATAAAACTAAAGTTATGACATTTTTAAGAAATCTAATTCAGCCAACCAAGTATGCCATTCGTCGCCCAGCGATACACTTCTGTTGCATGGCGACACTACTTTCGCATCACCCTTCGCCCGATGATGCTTGGAGCGGAGCATCACATAAACTTCCATATTTTCACCTCCTTCATCGCCCCATCGCTCGCCTGGAGACACAACCCTCGCCCAGCGACACAACCTTCATTGCCTCGCGACACAGCGCGAACATGGTTTTCCTGTTGCGGTTTTTGCACTGCATCAGTCTGATTCTTCTGTGATTTCATCATATTACAGGTCCTAAAACATCATCTAATCACAGGGTTTCATCATATATCAACATCTTATGATACTACATCAATTACAAGTCATTATTCATCACCAATTCATCAATTCTTCATCAACAACACCAATTCCTCTTCTACCAAAACCTAAGGCAATTCTATAACTATCTAAACCTTAGATAAAATATAATAACAATGATGAACAACCATTACCTTAGTATTTTGAGCGATCAAATTTCCTCTTCGCGTTCTTACGGTGATTTCTCCAAGACCTCTGTGCTCTAGCTTTCTCTCCGCTCTTCTCCAAACTTTCACGATTGTACCCTAAAACAAAATAATGCTCTCTTCCTTTGTTTATAAAAAGAACCCCTAATATCTGCCCATCTTTTTCCCACTTAGCATTCCACTAATTACCATCACGCCCTTAATCTTTCTACCTTATAATATTCTAGTTAAAATAATCCTTTAAATAGATATTCTAATTATTCTATTCTTAATAATAATCTAAATAATTACTAAATAATTATCTAAGTTATTATAATATATCCAATCACCTCAATTCACATCATATTTTCCCCACATTATATACAACAACATACCAACACATACACACATCATACTAAACAAAACATCATATATTCGTCAATAATCCACAATTGCTCCTAATAATTCATTAAATAATCAATTCTAAAAGTTGG